AGACATTTAGACATTTAGCTGGGTAAATGATGCAGTATATTACCTTAACTTATTTATATTTGCATTTAATTGTATTCCTATGCATTAACTCGCTATACATTCTAAATTCGTAGTGAGCAACTTTCTCTTTCTTTAAGTAAACATTGACCCGTACCAATTAATAAAGAAAGTACTTTTACTGATTTACTCAAACTATGTTTTATTTCTTACCACGCTTTCTACTTTGAAAAGTACCGTCTATACAAACCTATTCACTAAACTATGTGAAATCCTCATGAGAAGAGGAAATGGAGGAGACATATCCAGAGAAAAATTGGAAGAGCACTTCTACAGTGTAAACTCAATCAAAGGGATTAAACGGCACTCAGAGCACAAACCTCCGGCAAGTCTCAACAGTCCCCTTATGAAACCTCATTTGAATTAACTAGATACAGATTTTTATTTGGAAATGCACCAAATTGCCCAGACCAAAATGTGATGGCTTCTTCCTTGGTCCATATCCCATCCTGGATGGCGGCTGTGGCTGAGGGGGTAGAGTGGTCGTCCTCCAAACAGGCGATCGGCGGTTTGATCCTAATCTTCCCAATCTGAATGCCAAAGTTTCCTTGGGCAAGACACTGAACTTCAAAATGCCAATAATAAAAAGTTCAGTACAACCAACCTCCCACAAATCATCTTCACATATTCTGGTGTTGCTTGTCACTTGTTGACTTTTTGAAATATATTTTACACAATTTCAGAAATAACTGACGTGGTCTCAACCATTCTCTTATTGCACAATTTAGGGTCTTTCCACCTACACTGCAATTGACTAAGACAAAATCACCCCTGTTGGTGAGACATTAATGCCCTGTACCAAATGACTCCTTCGCCCTACCACTTAGACCTACCCCTTTGTTTTGCTTGTGGCCGTGAATGGGTAGTGGTGTCCCATTTCGCTATGTGATGTAGGGGTAGTACCCCCCCCACAAACATAGGGGTAGAACTTCCTGAATGCTTACCAAACGTCCAGGGGGCCAAGGGAGAGGAACTGGGATAGGGCCTTAATAGGGTTAGGGTCGTCTGCCCCCCCCATTTTCTTTCAAATTGCTTCAACTTGAAAACATCTGACATAAACTCGAAGGGTGTTTAAATAAATAATATGGATAAAATGGACTGTGTTCTCCTGTGTAAAGTGACTCCATTATCTTGCACTTTCAAAATGATGTACGTTTAATGTTTTATTGATATGCAAGAAGTCTGTTAGTGTAAACATGACTGTTGGACAAGCTGGATGGTTGCATGATAAGAAAATAAAAAACCGGATGTAGATAACCTGTAAACTATTGCTTTTACGTATTGTTTCTAGTTTATTTGCTTTTATTTTGTGCAATTCGCTGCTTATTTATTTTTATCATATCTACATAGTAAAATAACAAATTATTCTGGACCCAGCACCAGAATGAATGGTTCAGCAGGGCATGTTTGCATTGTAAAAACAACCAGAGGATGTGAGAAAGCAAAGGTAATTGAGAGAGCTCAGAAAGGATAAGCAATATTCTAAAGGTCAGTGTCGGCGATACAGGCCTGAGAATATGATTACATTTGCTTGGCTAACCTTGGAGCGCAAATGTTCTAAGATGCTGGACCACGCTTTTTGACCTCCACTGAGAGACGATTCAGAGATGCCAAATCAGCCACTGGTACCATTGCTGAGCGGAGACTTATATTATTGCTTTTCCTGGTGAGGAAGGAGTTTCATTTCCATTTCAATTTCTACAATATTACTTTGGCTGCCAATCAAACACGTCCTGAGTTTTGATATGAGCCCACATAACAGTCTGATGATGACACAATATTCAAAAACCAGATTGTAGCAATGTCCCCGGAGTTGTTAGACTGATAATCTCATAAATAAGCAATATATGAAATAGTCAGGGAGTAGAGAAGTGCTACTTTGAAAATGAGCAAACGTCGTAACACTTTTTTGTGTCCCCATGTGCACGTCAGTTCAAATTCACAAACTTATACATCTTTTATCACCACTCACTGTCCAAGTAGACCAAGAGAGAAATAATTCTGACGGAACATATTTTCTTATTAGAACGTTATTATATTAAGCTCCATTTTGCAGTGAAAACCCTTCTTTCTCTATTATGCCGCAGCCATGAAATCCTGCCGGCTGCAGAACAAGGTGGGAATTCTCTGCACGGCCACAGGAGGATCATGAATAGTGTTTAACAGCTCCAGCTGTTGTACGGTGGTTAGTAAAGCAAGTGTGCCGTGGAGAACTGCTAGAAGAGATAGCTGAGATTTAAACGGGGCAGCAAACCGCCAAGTGGTTGGTGCCAGAGGGAAGGACAAACGGGCACTTATTTATGAATGCCCTTACACACTGGGAAAGTTGTAGCATTTGCTTTGGGAAACAGATGCTTTCACTTACTGTGTACACACCACAATACCTCGATGTGCAATCTTGCATCTATAGCCTGCTTTTATGTCCTGAAGGCCCAAACCCTAACAGCAGACTTCACCACAATATGCCAAGGTTAATTCTCAACACTACAAGACCAACTGAAAAAGTCATGCCTACTATCCCTGGCTCCTCCATTCCATCAGAGCATGAATGTGTGATAGGAAATACAATAGCAGCACTGTGAATTTGTGTGTGAATGTGACTTGCAGTGTTTGAATGACCACAAAGTGCTACATAAACGTAGTCTATTTACAGACTCTACTGGCTCCACAAAACCTGGGTATTTTCTAAAGGTAATTTTGACAGAAATATAAAAAAACTCTGTGCTTATATTGAAAGGTCTCAGGGTTAACACTCAGCTGTAATGGCTGCTGATATCTCACCCCACCTCGTTGCTCCCTATGCACGATCGCCGCACTCCCCCTTATAGTATGAATAGCATATACTTAGGATGTTTAATCTCGGAGAGTCAACATACCCAAATAAAAGTAATGTTCATGCTCAGAGAGAAAGGATTAGATTGTTTTTTCATTGATTGTGTATTTGTTCAACACCTTAAGCAATTGGCTTACTGGAAATGTGATTGACTATTCATTTTGAAAGTGAACCCCAGACTGAAAATGAAAACGGACGAGATGAGGGCTCCACAAAAGTCAAGCAAAATCCTCTGGATTGCCCCCGATGGTTGGCTGCAGTAAACATCATTAACCTGCCTTCTCCAGGTTAGCAGGTGGGACATTGGATTCATCCGGCATCATTTCTAGTCATCCATCTTTATATACAGTGTATGGTGTGAACCTAGTTGCTCCTCTTTGGGTTTTAAGCAATTCTCAAGGTGCTAGATTCATGTTTTATATGATCTAAAGTTTATGTTGCCTTGTTGTTTTGAGCAAGTGACAAATTTAGGACTTAATCCAACCACAAAACCTGATTTATTTGTAAAAGCCGAATCTCATTATGACTAACCTATCTTTTTGAACCCTGTCACCAGACAAGAATGCTTACAAAAAGTAAATAATAATATGAAGGCCACCTTTTATTCCATTTGGGACTTGATACACATCTATCCACCATCCTGACCTCCACACACTGGCTTTATGCCTTGCTACATAAAGAGGAAAATGACTTGCTGCATTTACGATGAACATTGCCAATGAACATAAATAGTGGTGTTCAGACATGTCCAGTACGATCATAATTCCCGGGGATCCTGGGCTGGTCCGTCACACTTAATGTGCAAGCATGCATGTAAGCAGTAGAGGGCAGGACGAAGAGCGCTGCTAAAAGCGTACTAAACCTTTTAAGCAGCTGGAGCAACTGGAATGTGTCAGAATGCCAACAATCAAATTACATTTTCTAACCCGTTATCTCCATCTTCTCTGAAATGTCCTTCCATATTTTGCATGGCACAGACTATTATTACAGTAGTTTGTTATAACTGTTGCCTCAGTAAGGAGAGAGTCTCCTCCAGAGAGATGTGTCTGTGCAATCGAACAGCTTATCTCTGCTGACATTACAATACATGAAGAAGAGGTCATTGAAAGCAATGGTCCTTCATGTGCAATTTTACAACTTGTGCATTTGCACGGACAGCAGGAGTAAAGTTCTGATCTAATGGTGCTGGTGAGACCTGACATGTGTTCACAAGTTTTGAAATGAACAAAACTACGCTAACCTCTACCACAGGGTCTGAAACAGATAAATCAATATTCAACACTTTATTTCTATTAATCTCAGCAATTATTAAAATTTCCAGATGACCACTTCGACAAAATTTCATAGGAAAAATGTCCCATTTTCACTAGCCACTGACAAACCCTTTTAACAAATCATAGTAAATAGTTATTCAGTATGAGAATACAAATTTGACAGTATAAAAAATAAATAATTCAATTTAATTAGAAACGCATATCAAATTTTAGACGCAGCTCACTGGTGGAGTTGTTATTTTTAGAACAGGCCTGCGGGCTACTCATGTGGTCCTCGGGTGCTACCTGGTGCCCGTGGGCACCGTGTTGGTGACCCCTGCTCTACCACTTAGTGCATCTAATTCCATCATGAAATCTCCTTGCTAACTAAACCTAAACTTGACGTTTGCATCAGTGAGTACCCACAAAATGTCCTCAATTTGAATTATCCGAATTGTTCTCTCCGCACACAGACGCTTGGTCCTCATAAGGAAAGATATTACCTTCAATTCCCACAGTCCTACACACAGCCACCAAAAGCCCCTTAGCTCAGTAGAAAAACACAATCTCAGAAAATAATTGGCCTGACACGCAGATACACAACGAGATGGAGAGGGTGGAAGGAACAGTGAGATGCCGTCAATCAATCTGCGGGAACACATAAGCTGTGTGGGAAGGGCAGAGAGGTCTTGTCTGAATGAGAAAATAAAACTATCGCCAATGGCAAGGTGGCCTTATGTTATCTTAAATATGTAATGAGCTCTGACTTCAGGTTCAAGCACACAGGGTGTTTAAAGTGCATGCAGGAAAATGAGTGTTATGTGGGAAAGTTGTGTCGCACACTGTTTGAGGCCTACCTGGAACAAAGCTCCCCTGCACCACCTCCTTGTACGCCCACCATCCTTCGTGAATCTTCGGTGGATTCGGCTGTGCTGTGAGGAGAAGAGACACAGACACATCAATCACTTGGAACTGAAATTCAGACAAGAAAGCGAAAAAACTCTTGCCAAGTTTCGAAGCTCTCCGACTACAACATTCTCCCCCCCCACCCTCATCGTTTCAACTGCTAACCTTCTCGGCGAGAGGGCTCGGCAAACAAAGTCTCCTGAGATGGCCTTGGAGCAAAGGCCTCCCATTAGAATGCAACCTCTCATTTCTGTCCAACTGAGCACTCACACACACATGTATACTCCCTCGGGATGCAATGCCTCCTGAGACATTAGCATGGAAATACCTGCTATCATGTTATGTGAGCTGTGGAAGAAAGTCCCGCATTAAAGCAAGGTGGTACAGTATAATTGAGGTGAACAAAGGTCTCAATACAAAGAGAGAGTTGTGATCGAGAATTACCCACTGAGCCTTCAGGATATTACTTTTTATACCTCAACTTCTTTTCCCTCCTGTTCATTCACCAAACACGCAAAGCGCAGCTTAATGGAGGGTCTGGAGGTTACCCTGCTTGCTTGTCTTTAATGGAAGCGGAGGTGGCTGAACAACACTACACCCTCCCTTCCGAACAGCCTTGCTGCAGTAACGCTGGTGAGCAGGTTCAATTTCAGAGGGGTGGGCCGCTTGAACATGATCCAGAAAAGGCTATTTTCTCTAAGGGCAATCTCTGCTGGCACAAGCTGCAAAGGGAGGGAAATGGTAGTTGGCCTCTCATGGAAAAAAAAAAAAGGAATACTGTTGTCAATTCATTTCTCATAATGACAAATTGTTTTGTAAATTAACTTTAGGTAAACACCACTTTTATTCTGCATGAAACCAATTCTCCAAAAAGAGGAAGACTTAAAAACAAAGGTAGAATCGCTCCATACCAGTAAAGGTGCTTTTCTAACAAATGTTTATCTCTTTTGGATGAAAGAATTTCATTTCATTTTGAAATTGCAATATGTATTCCGTTAGATACCATGGCAATGCACAAATTATTATAATTCTTTGGCGTAATAATCATCATGAAAGAAGATGATAGGAGCCTGTGTCTCCAGGGTGGGATTATTAGAAGTGTTCCTTCTCAAACCTAAAAACATTTTTCTTCTAAAAATTCTCTTTCCTGTCTGTGCAAACACAATGTGTTTGTTTCACACCTTTACTGGGAAAGATGTATTTTCACCTTGATTTGATTCCATATGGAAATCTGCCTTGAGAGGAGTAAAAGCTAAAAGACACCATAATTTATAAAAGCAAAACTTGTGCCCTGTTGTTGGTGTTAACCAGTGAACTCAACTTTTATCTAGACTTATGGGTTGACCATACTTAGAGTTTCATACTTGTTCCAGTCACGTGCATCCCGGTTGTGTGTACTTGAATTCCTTAAAAGATGGGTTGTACAAATGTGTGTACAATATGTTGTAACTGCAACATGCACAGTTGACACATACCATCAGAGCGGTCAAACATTTGGGGTAGCATGTGGATGTGAGCATATAGGGGTCTGTTTGTACGCTAGGTGGGTTACATTCATGTCACAAGGCCTTTAAAACATGGTGACCTCTGACACTGAATTTGTGCTTTTGACCAAAAGCAATAAAACACCTATTGAGTCAAAAAGTAAAACGGTACTCAACAGCAAAAGTTAATTAGTTACATTACTTGTCGCTTTCAACAACTCCGAGGATGTTGCATCCACTTAACGTCTCCAATAATGAACATCAATATGTGGTTTAATGAGCAATCAGTCCATGGTTTGGAGCTCATTACTTAACATCAGAAGTTAGCTTATCCCCAGTCACTGTACAACAGAGATGCTTCATGGCTCACACACACTTTCCAATTTCACATAAAGCCCAGGTCAGATTTGATTGTATTGTGCCAGTGGCTATAGCTGGAAATGAAACTTTGGAGAAACTGGAAGTTGAATTCTTCCTCTTTTTGTAGACACTAGTTAAAAATCCACCTTGCGATTTCCAATATAAATCAAAATAAGTAAGTAAGTATCTTCAGTATTTTACAATTACATTTTTCAAAAGAAAGGAATGTTTCTGAGTCTTAAGCAGGGCAAGGCTTGAAAATAAAAACCTTGATTTAGTTGGGGATATGTTACTTAAAACAAACAGGGTAAATCCAGATTGTTCACAATCTGTATTCTTTTATAAATAAGGTGACCAGATTTTCAAATTCTTTACCGATACCCCAAAAGGAACTGCACGTGCACATGCATGTGCTTATGCACAGTTGTTTTCACGCATATAAGGAGTCCACCTTTCAACACCATGGATGCCAGGTACCTTTCAAAAGAAGGACTGAGCTCTTTGCAGAACGCAGACTGTCACTTCAGTGTGACAGTTAATTGTTAGTGTGATGTCTGGCTCTGTAAGAAACAGCCGCCAGCAACATAAAGCCTTGACAACAACACACTGACTGACTGACAGCCATTTAGACCAATCAGTGGTGAACGTAGGAAGCGTAGGGTGGCAGAGTTTTCAAGTGAATGTTGAAATGCCAGATCTTGAAGTGACGGCCGTATCCACAGCTGCACAACTGAGGTAGAAATATGATAAAATGATTTTTGTCTCAGCACAATCAAACTCAAAAGACAGCATTCTCCCTCATCACTATCACAGGGGGTGTAAGTTTTCTTTGCAGTCACTAACACACCACACTGTACTACATGATATGCTTACGACGTATTGTCATTGTAAGTTGAGTTAATCACTCTTGTCTTTGGGTTTTACCATGCTTGCTGCATCAGTCCAACTTCCTGGTTTGGCCAAAAGAGGTGGCTGAAGGTGGAGCTTGGTTAAGTACAGAGGCCCACTAAATGGACCGGACCAACAGCTGTATAAGTGTAGGGGGGTATTGTGTTTCCATATACGGGGTTTAGATTTTGTCCCTAGGTTATTGTATCCACATATGTCTCCCTCTTGTCTCATACCAGTATTATTTGAATAAGTCCTGTTTGGTTTTTAATGGGCCCAGTTATCAACCGAATAAAAAATGTGCATGTATCATAAAAAATCACTCAAAACAACAAAGTCCCATCAGTCAGGATAATAATGATAATTTCTGCATTAAAACTGACATATTGACAATTTCAGTGTTCATCAAAATGTTAACTGAGGAGAGATTTTCAGTCTCTGTCAACATATAAAACAACTTTTTGCAGTATTACAATGAGTGCATGCTTCTGTTGTGGGGTGCAGGTACAACCTTCCCATGAATGGACCAACAAAATAAAAACACAACACTACATTGTGGAATAATAGAGTACAAGGGCCAGGTTTAAGGAACAAAAAGAAAAGAGAGAGATGATCTATATTTTCATTTGTATTTATATTTGTTATTTGGATATTGTGTTCAGATCAATAGTAGAGGGGGCAACACAGCATGTTCTTTTCGGTGTATCTATATCTATATATACATTGAACTCTGGAGGAGGAATTTCTCAGTTGAGTTTGAGACAGCGACAGGATAACAGCTCCAACCTGACTCTCCATATTCAACACTGATACAAGTCTGAGGCAGTGAGAAGACAACAGCTCCAAGAAGCACCAGTGCTGTTAGAAGACAACAGTTCATTTTTCTCTACAACACTAACCCTGTAAGCTACCTGTGTTCCACCTGTTTCAAATTTTCTTCAACACAACCTGATATGAACTTGGTATACCATGGTTCCGTATCAGCTAAAATAAACAATATTGTCTGCATTAGAGCATGGACATGAATAATCCTCAGAGAAATCCACAAAAATTCAGAAAAACAGCCTAAAGAGAAAAAAAAAACATCATGACTATAAACCCTGCCTTCAAAACACGGAAGGTTCAGGTTATCTGTGTTGTATTGGTCATCAAAATGTTAACTGACAGTCTTAGCTTATATGATCCACCTTCATCCACCAGTGTCTTTTGTTCACTCAAATGTCTCAATAAGTCAGTTAGTTCTGACATATGGAGATGTTCAGGCCTGGATTTAATTTGGATGATGATTGGACAATGCACAGTGGAGTTAAATACCACTTCCTGTTTCACAGTGAATCAGTAGGTGGCGCTATAAGCCTGTATTAGTTTTAACACATGGAGCTGTTCAAGCTGTGAAGTTAATCAGCGGTTTCAATTTTGGTGCCGATCAATAGGTGGCGCAATGACCCTGAGTTAATATTGACATACGGAGCTTTTCAGGCCTGGAGTCTTTCTTAAGTTAAAACATTTGTGCCGATTGGACGATGCACAGTGGAGTTAAATACAACTTCATTTGCACGCTGTTCAGTAGGTGGCACTATGATCCTGACTCACTTATGACACATGGAGTTGTTCAGGCCACCTCTCTGATCATAGGTTTTAATTCTGGTGCCTGGACTCTGATCATGTAACATAATTTTGGGGCTTATTGGACAACGCACAGCGGAGTCAAAAAAACTGTCCTGTTTCACAGTGAATCACCAGGTGGCGCTATGACCCTGTATTAGTTTTGACACATGGAGCTGTTCCGGCTGGGACTATGATCATTGGTTTAAATGTTGGTGCTGATTGGACAATGCACAGTGTAGTTATGACAACCTTGTCTTCTTTGGAGAGGGATCAACCTTTGCTGCACCTCAATGTTTACACGGTTTGAGAAAGTGTCACAATCCTGACCATGTTATTATCGCTGGTCTGAGCTCATTTGAGCTGTATATTGCAGAGCCGGCAGCAGTGCATCCGAGTATAAAGCATGTCACTTCCTGTTGCCAGCAGGTGGCGCTGTGACAATGAGTCATTATTGACATATGGATTCGTTCAAGGCAGGACTGTGATCATGTGAAAGGGTTTTGAGGCTGATTTTCTGGAGGGAATTTGACGCCATGGTCAGACCGTGTAACGCTCACTAAAAAATTTAGGTAATTTTAATCTCCGAGATGACACTGAATTAAAAGTTAAAAGAGAAGTTTGTTCCAATACAACACGTGTAAATGGTCTAAAATGGCCGACTTCCTGTTGCGTTTTTTAATAATGTT